CGCCTTCAAGGGGCGCCGGGGGCGGCGGGAGGCAGGCACGCAGCTCCTCTTCCAGCACCTGCACCGGGACAACGTCACTGACCTGGTGAAGTGTGAGTTGCTGCCGGCGCCAAGCTGGGGAGCCCAAGAGGAGCACCCTGCTGTCCCCATTGTCCCCATCATCCTGCATGCCCTGGGGTTCGGGTAACGCCCGCGGAGGAGGCGGGTGGGTGGCAGTCCCCACCCCAGGTGGATCCAGCTCAGGGAGACCTGGGGAAGCATCAAGGGGTGATGCTGCCCCGTGGCCGAACCCGTGCCATCCCTCCCCAGTGACGGTGGCTGAGCTGAGGCACTATTTCTCCTGCGGTCTGTACGGCTACAAAGGCTACCAGCTCCACTACGCAGGGACCATCGGCTTCGTCTGCATCTCCCCTTGCAAGATGGGCTACTGCCAGCATGGTGGCCAGTGCCAGCACCTGCCTGAGGGGCCCACATGCAGGTAGCAATGGTGCTGGGGATGGACAAGGCCACCAGGCACAGCTGTGTCTCCCCACAGCATCACCGCTCCTCCCTCCCCACCTGCAGCTGCCTCCCCTTCTCCATCTTCTCCCCCGCCGGCACCCGGTGTGAGCGACTGGCCATCAGCCTCGCCGCCTTCCTCGGCATTTTGGTGGGAGCCCTGGCTCTGCTCTGCCTCCTGCTCACCACCGCCTGCCTGGCCTTGCGCCTCTGCCGCCGGCACCGCCACAAGCACCAGGGGTGAGCCGTGGGCTGGACCCATGCAGGGGTGGGTGCTGTGGGTGCGGCAGGGAATGGAGGTTGGGTGACAGGAAGAGTTTTGCCAGCCCAAAAAAATGGTGGAAAAATCTATCTCTGGAAGTTCCACCACTAGTGGGACCCATCTGGCCCAGGCAGGGGGAGCCTACCATGGGGAAGGGGCTGAGCTGGGTGACTTTTAGCATCTTCCAACCCCTTTCCCAGTCATCTGCTGCTCAGGGGTGCGATAATGTCAGTGGGTTGAACATTACCTTCCCTTTTCCCCCATGTGAAGGAATATTTGCATTTCTTCCTCACCTCACCCAGTGCTCAGTTACAGATGGGCTTTCTATTTAATTTTAATTTGAATACTATCCAAATGATTTCCACTGCAGTTCACATTGCTCTGGAAAAAGTTGATCTGGAGCAAGAAAAAGATGGTCGCAGGATTGGACCTTGCTCTCCTGCAGAGCAGGGAGTTAGCAGATGGCTGACGGGGTGCAAGGCTGTGGTGGAAGTGCCAGCATCTTCTTACCTCCTCCCCAGCCCTTGGTTTTGGCATGGCACCCACACTTGGGGGAAGCTCAGTGCCCCAAGCCCCCCATGCCAGTTGGAGCTGTGTCCTGCCCCTGCTGCTGGCTCCCTGCCTGCCCTGCAGCTGGGGCTCTCCTGGAAGCGCCTCTGTTCATTCGCACTTGTGGCAAGGCAAGAAATTGCATGTGCACAGCAACTGGGACTTTTCCTCCTCTTGTAGCCTCATCTTGCCCCCACACTCAGTCACTGCTCCCCACTCCCATCCGACCCAGGCACCAGGACCAGGCAAGGGCTCTCCTGCCCTCTCCAACATGTTGTCCCCTTTCTGCTCCCCTCCTCCTAGGGCCAAGGAGACCTTCTGGAGGCAAGAGCCCTTCTGCTGTGAGTACACCCCTGCGAAATGCCCCACCCCAGCTCCGCTTCACCCTGGTCTTCTTCAGACTCTGCTCATCTTCCCTGCTCCAGCTCTGACAACAGCAGGAGAGCAGGCAGACTCTGCCCAATTCCACTCCTCGGGAAGGCATTGGGAACCACAGCTCCAGGTCATCGACCCCTCAATCCAGGTCTGCCTGGGGGTTATTGTCCCCATAGGGGGGTCAGGGTGGGGGACTGTGGGCTGGGGACTGATGTCCTAACCCCGTGCCTTAAAGACGCTCAGGAGCTGTGCCTCATCCCAGAGCATCGTGGATGCTTTGGCTTACGCTGAGGTCTGCGCCACCATCTGAGCTCATCACGAAGAGCAGAGCCTGTGCAGTGCCAACAGCACGGCATGGCCTGTCCCTCCTTTACAGATAAGGATCCAGAGACCCCACGTCAGGCCTCCTTGCCAGCCCCCCAAGCAGCCCTAGCCTGCCACCAGCCCTGCCCCAGCGCCTCCGGGCTCACAGAGGAGCCAGCCGCTGCTGCCAGCCCCACCACCCACTCTCGGGGTCTCTGGCAACGATGCCCATGTGGAGGCAGAAGATGGGCAGCTGCCTTTTGGGGTCTGGTCTTTGTGGGAGGATTTGCTCTGGAGGAGGTGATTGTTTTGAATGAAAAATGTGGGTTTATGTTGAGTGGCCAAAGAGAGAGGATTTCACCTTCCCCTGAGGATGTGCAGAGGCAGCCGGGGCAGTCCTTGAGTGTGTCTGCACCAGGGTATGCCCTAGTGCAATGTAACTGCACCCAGCAGAGCCGCTGATAGCAGACTCAGGTGGGGCAATGCAGCGATTATAACCAGTTAGGAGCAAAATCAAATAAACCAAAAATTATGGCATGCTGCTGAGTAAGTTGCCTGCACCCTGCGGTGCCCATGCGCCAGCCCTGCTTCCCTGTCACTGAGCTCTCAAGTCCCTGCTTTCTGCTGGTCCTGCTTTCTGCTGGTCTTTCTGTGGATGACAGGGCCAAAGAGAAGATGGATGTAGCTTTTTTTCTTGCCCCATCCCCTCATTCCCCCTGCAAAGCCGCAAGTCTCCCTCACTGCTCTCCCCAGGCACCGCGGGAAGTGGCTCAGATCACACAAGTTGGGCTGTGGTCCCTGCAAAGACCCCACAGCCCTTTGCCCCTGCTGAGGGAAGATGCTGCGCCCAAGGAGGGTGCAGCAGACCCCGGCAGACCCCAGCTCCAGTCCCACTGCCCCAGAGCCCGGTTCAGCCGCAGCCCAGATGCTCACATCCCCAGCACCAGCTCAGAAGGCAACAGCAGCCTGTGATGCCACCGTCCCCAGTCTGCCCCCACCACTGCCTCCCACCCCAGTTCAGTAGAGGATGTGGCTGCTGCAGGGTCAGTGATGCTCAGACGCCTTGGAGGCTTTATTGAACAAACAAGATTTGACAAGGATTTTTTTTTTAAGACAGACAGATGCTCTCTTACACAAAAGAAAAAAATACTTTTCTCTCAATGTTTCTGATCGTGGGGCTGAATTTTGCCCTTGCACACCCAGCAGAGGCCTCAAACAGACTCTGGCTTGATCCGGAGAATTGTCCCTTTTTCTGGGCACAGCAGGGCCTGGGGACTGCCCGAGGAGGGATGGCTGGGGGACAGAAGTGGGAAACAAGACAGGAACAGCTCACAGGGTGAGCCTGGTGTACTGTGGTACTTGGGAGCTCAGCTGCAGTCGACCCACGCAAGGTGCAAAAGCCCATTCCCTGGGTGCTGAGGGGCCAACCTCACCCCGCAGTGTGGGAGGAACAGTGGGATGTGGGGAGGACAGGGGGTGGTGGACACGGTGGGGGGTATCTGCCCACCTACCCACCAGCAAGGAAGTGTCCATGGGCACCCACTCAGCTGCAGGTGGGGAAGAGCGACTAAAGCAACCACCTTCTTGGGACAAGTCTGAGTTAGAAAAATGAAATTGTGCCAGTGAAGGCAACCGCAGGCACTAGCCAAGTGAGCTGCCCTGAGTGGTGGGCAGGGGCGATGAGTGCTGAGGGGGTACAGGGGATGAGCAGGAGCAAAGGACTTGGAGGATCAGCTGTGGTCTGGACTGTGTTGCAGACGTGCAACCCCCAGTTACTTGTCCTCTTCATCTGCAAAGAAGAATAAACAAGGATTGCCCGGCCACCTTCTCCCCGGGGGCCTGGGGTGAGCTGGGAACCCCGAGGGAATTTCCACGTGGTGGGGATGGGGGGCAGCGGGAAGCAGCTGGAGGAGAGGAGAGCCCCGAGCCCACTCACCATTCTGGTCCTCCGAGTCGCTCTCTGCCTCCTCTGAGGAACCTGCTGGGGGTTGTAAGAAAGTCCCACATCAGCTTACACCAAGAACACATTAGCTGCTGTCCTCTGCCCCTCCTGGTGCTGTCACACCCAGACTATGCTGGTGGTTATGTGCTAAGGGAGATGACCACCCTCAACCCCACACAGCGCTACCCGCACATGAGCACCCCAGAACCCATCCCTCATCTGCCCAGGGCTCTTGCTGCCTTAACCACGAGGTGTCTGTGATGTTCCCCACAGCCCTGGGCACCAAGATGGCATCACCCTGGCACACACAGGCTGCAAACCCACCTATGCCAGGTGACTGGTATCCATCACAGCCGATCTTTGGTCGCTTCTCACTGTAGCGGGCGCAGAGGCGGGCACTGCCTGCCTGGTTACAGCACCAGTTGTACAACTTCAGCTCCTGGTCTGGAGACAAAAATTAGAGTAAGGGACTAAAGGGGAGACGAGAGGGAGATGGGCTGGCTCCAGGCAGGCAGAGCGCTTGCCTCGGCTTTTGGCAGGTCCACGCTCCTGCCGAGGGCAACAGCATGTCAGGAAATACATTGGCATGGAGATTAAAATGATTTATAGGCTACAGCAATGCCAGCCTCAGCCAGGGGATGCCAGGGCTGGCTGTGCTTACCGCGGTAGGGGGACGCCTGCCTGGAGGACCTCCAGTACCTCTCCTGCCGCCCCTCGATGAGCTGGCTCTGGCTGTCGTACAGGCAGCGGACGCCGGCACCGTGCTGGTTGGGGGAGGCGGAGTGCAGCATGGAGACACGGGTAGCCCACCAGCCTGCAACAGGGCAGCAGTGAGACTCGGCACAGCTCCCCCCGGCCAGCATCCCTGCCCTGGCGCAGCCCTTCCCAGGTGACGAGCGGGACCGGGGTTGGCTCCTTGTTATCCATCCCTCCCACCACATCACCCATGGTGCTACAGGTGGTTTGGAGAGACTGATGGAGACCACCCAAGTGATACCGCAAGGTGAGACTCCAGTGCTGGGGAGGGTCCATTTCTGTTGTCCCTTTGCAGCTTAGACAGATCTTTCCAGTCCAACAAGACAGGGACAGGTCAACCGTCATTCATGCCCATTTTCCCTGTCTCTGCAGGGAAGGGCAGCCCCCCCCCTCATTTTCCTTGGGGTCCCCCACCTGCCCAGCCAGGAAGAACCCCAGCCACCCTTGCAGGGGAGATGGGGAAGGACAGCTCAGGGACGAGGAGGGTGGGGATGCAGCATGTCCGCTTGCCTCCCCAGCTGCTCTTGAAGCGCAGGTCCCGCTGGCCTTGCTGCAGGGAGCAGGGGCAGGCAGGCAGGCCCTGGCTCCACGCCCGCGGTTCCTGCTGCCGCCCAGTCCACGCCAGGCACTTCAGCCGGTAGTTGACACCCACACGGCTCTCCAGCTTGTAAATCCACAGCCCGCGGAGGTCTGAGTGGGGAGAGAAACCATGAGTTGTCACCTCCGGCCAAGGGGACTGCAGGGGCAGTTTTGGCTCGAGGCGAGAGCTGAGTGATGCTGATGCTGGAAGCTAAACCCGCTTTGACCCCCAGCCATGGGACCCCATGCTTAACAGCCACCCAATGGCAGGGAAACAGGGGGAGAGGGTCTTGCCAAACAAGAAAGCCTTGGGACAGAGCCACTGCAACAAAAAGGGTCCATGGACACATCAAGAACTTTTCAGCCTCAGGGCATAGCTGGTACCCAGGGGAAGCATTTTATGTGCTTGGGGGGAAAGCCTGGCCTCAGTGAACTCAGTGAGAGCCTTGCCACAGTGGCAGGGTGGGTTTCATCCCCT